GTATCTTAAGGTTGAGAAGCTAGCCAGAGAGAGCTTCTTCTTCCTTGGAGAGTCGTTCCCGCACAATTCAGTAAGCTTTGGTGAATTCTCAGACACATTCCCCAACCACAAGCCTATGCTAGTCTCCAAACCAATCTCCTATGTCTTTAATCTCCATCCGCCTACTGACATCCAGTTTGGTGATTACACCTCTGTTCTTCACAAATCTCTTCACAGCAAATGATCTCATGCTGTTTTAAAAAAAAAAAAAAAGAGTTTACTTTTTGGTACTTTTGTCTCTGTCTATAATACCGATTAGCTCTAGCTGGCTTTGCTTTTGTGAACCGAAAAGAAATTGTCTGAAACTTATTCAGACTCTCATCTCCACGTTTAATGATTGAACAATGATGAACTGTTTCTGGATTATATGGTTAAGTTATTGTGGAAGGTAAGATATGTGGTTGCAGGGTGAAAGTGAGTTAAGAACACGCAGGAGCTCTTCTGGAGATAGTACCATCCAAGGAGATCAATGATCATGATGAGTAAGTCAACAATGACTTAGTTGAATCTTTGATTTGTTGAATCTGAAAAGTAGCAATTTCTGTCGGTCATTGCATATAGCTTGTTTTGATTTCGAAGTTTCTTCTCAGATGATATATGTCCAGTCGGTGATTTACAAATCATGGTTATTCGGTAGGGTATAAGCAAAACACCCACTTGGTTGCTCTGTTACTTGTCTTAAGATGATGATTGGTTTGGTCCCCATTTCATGTATCTATTCTTGTTTTTGTTTTCTTTGTCTCTTGATTGTCTCAATAGGAAGTAGAATAGAGCAATTGAGCAGTATGAAACAATGATTATTATTATTGCCGCTATTAACTAACCCCTTATCATTTCACATAGATTATTAGTCTCTTAATATATTTCCTATAATCATATGTTATCTTTTGTTAAATTTGTAGATTCATGTGTTTGTTCTTATCATCATACAACTTTTAGGCCTAAATCCTCTTTTTTGCTTCATCCCGATCAGGTGAATTGTCACAAACGTATTGATATTTCGACCATTTAATTCATGTGAGCTCAATCTTTGCACGGCATAGGTTTTAACGATCTGATATTATGTTTGTCGTGTTCGGACCATACTCATAACTACCCTGATGATAATTATACCAGAAGTGACGCACGTACAAATGTGGTTAGGTCGTGAATTTGGTTGGGTTAACATAGATCTAAGTGTGGGCTCAATCATTTTCAATGCGAATAAGAACACACATCATCATAAATGCGAATCAACCGGTTTAGATAACGATATTGTAACCGGTCCTATTTTGGTATTGAATGAATTGATCCAGACCCGAAAACATATATCGCCATAATTGTGAAACAAACTCCACGTTCCAGTATGTTGTAAAAAATTCTAAAAATCTCCCTCTTGCTTAAAGGAAAACAATAATCAAATTTCGTAACATTAAATGATTAGATGATGATCAAAAATTAAGCTTAAAGAATTACCAATCCGTAAGTGACTTTTTAAATTTTGATACTCTTTTTTAACTTTCATTATTGCTTCTCACCTTTCTCTTGCTTCCTCTGCAACCCTGTCTTGATTACCCTAGTCTCTTTTCTTTAATATTTTAATTTGAATAGCATGATTCTACAATTTTTTTAAGTCACCAATTTGCAAAATCACGTGTTTATGTTAAGGTCATTTTATTATTTTCTGAATTTAAAAACGACAAAAGATAACTGTACGTTACTCTTTTATAATTAAATTAATTATCTTTTGGCAATTAGGCTATGTAACTCATTTCTGTATATATTTCATTTTTAAAAGTTTCGTCCCCTCTAATTTTTGCCTATCTTAACTCGGAAAAAGTCACAAAAGTGGTGTTAGGGGAAAAACCAAAACCACTCATGAATTAAAAAGAAAAAATTAAAACATGTCTAGTTTTAGGAGGAAGTGGTAGTATAGCTTAAAATGGTAAAACAAATGAAACCCGAAACTCAAAACTACTACATAGAGCAGAACCCAAAAATAGCAAATAGACTTAACCCATCGATATAAAAGCTTACCCGTATGTAATGATTACTACAACACCAACAAATGGACCGTCCCATAGTCTTAAACTTCAATTTCACGTCCTAATAACTTTTAACTAAACCAAATTAACAGTTTACTCCCTAATTACAAAATTTAAAATTCCCATCATCTCTCCTTCGTGTATAAATATATACTCTCTGCTCTGTCTAAAATATCTTACCAATTTCTTTAAAGTTTGGATCTTTCTTCTAACCCTTTAGAAGAAGAAAAAAACACACAACAATGAATTCTTATATCACGTTTACTCTCCTCTCTCTTTTTCTTGCACTAAACCTAAATCCGTCGTTAGCGTCCAGTCTCGACCTCACAGACGATACAAACGCGAGCATAACGCGATACAGCACATACGTCAAAAACGCGTGTAACGTAACGCGTTACCAACACCTCTGCGTCAGAACGCTTTGGCCGTTTGCAATCGTTGCTAAAAACAACTCGAGCATATGGGCAAGAGCCGGCGTCGCGGTTACCATAACCGACACCAAACAGATCTTAAGACTTTTGCTCAGAACGCGGAATTCAGCGGTTGGGAAACGCGAGAGAATTGCGTTATCCGATTGCCGTGAGCTCTTCGTGGACTCTCTCGACAGTCTCTACAAGTCGCTCGCCGTTCTCCGGAAACTAAACGCCGACGAGTTTCAGCGACAGATCAGCGATCTCGCCACGTGGCTAAGCGCTGCACTCACAGATCAAGACACGTGTCTCGATGGATTTGCAGAGACTTCGGATATTAATTCATCACCAACGGTCAGGATGATTCGAAGGAAAGCTACTAAATGTATGCAATTATGCAGCAATGCTCTCGCTCTACTCAACAAGCTTGCTTATGATGGCTTGTAATTTACCATGTGATTAATATTACAAATACAAAGAAAAACTATATTTTATATAAATGTTTATATCAGTTATTAAGTATCTGATTGTGGTCCGGTTAATAACTCACGGAGATTTATCATGAATTTATGATTTCGTAATAATTAATTTCCGTTTGTCTTCGGCTAATTACATTATTATTTTGCAAATGTCTTTTTCATCCCCTTCCGTTTTTGTGGTCCGGTTTGTTTTGTTTTATATACATCAGTTTTACCATGTTTAATCAGTCAAAATCCAAGGTCGATCATGAGAAAAGTATGATGAAATGAAACATAGACTTTTGGAGAACAAACCAAAAAAACACACATAGACTTTTGGAGAAAAGTATGATAGAACATATATGTCTAATTGGTGACCACGTTTGAACAGAGCGGTTGAAAGTTTTTAAACGGTTGAACAGAGGATCGTTTAAAACAAGACGGTTAAAAACAGTGGTTCGAAAAGGTGGTTGGATAATAGAGAACAATTCAAATATAAACTTGATTGGTAGCATTGTAGCGGTTGAATAGTTTAATTAGATAAAATTATGTAACATTATTTTTTTAAATGATTTTAAAAATATAATGCATTGAAAAATAATTTAAAATTAATAATATGAATTATTAGTAAAAATAATTTAAACTTAATAATATGAGTTATTAGTAAACATTTATTACAATATTCACTTTCAAAACATTAAGAAATTATAAGTAAAAAATAATAGAAAAAGAAGTGAGAAAAAGATAATAGTTCTCAAATGAGAATTTTGAGATACCCCATAAGAACCCCAAAAGACACTTGTCAATTCATTATTAGTATAATTTTTTTTTTAAATA